TTACAATCCGGCAGGCAATCAATCAATCATCCCAGACAACACAATCCTACTCACCAAACAACTCCACAGCACTAACCCCATCCAAATCCCTCACGGACACGGCCTTCAGCTTCTCCACCACCATCTTCACACCCTCATAAGAACCCGACCCGTTCCCCATCAACAAACCGCTCGAAATTCCGATCAGCCCGGGATTCTGGCTATTGAAAACCGAAAAAACGGCAGCCTCCTCAAACCCGGCATTAAAGCAGTAATGCAAGAGTCCCTTGGGGAACAAGAACACGTCCCCCTCGCCCAGCTGCTTCTGGAAAACCCGGGCCCCCGAGTCCACGAACCCAGCCACCACGAGCCCGGCCCGGACGAAGATAATCTCGGACGCCCTCGGGTGAGAGTGCGGGGCCACCACCCCATCCACGTCGAGGTCGATCCGGGCCCCCGAGAGCCCGAGCGTGTTCAGGCCCGGGAAGACGGCGGCCGTGGACATGGTCACGGACGAGCGGAAGAGATTGTCCGTGTCGCCGCGCATGGAGAGGACCGAGGACTTGAAGTCGGACGGGCCTCTCTCGGACGGGCTCTTGCACGGGTATCCGTTGATGAATACGGTGTGGGTTTTGGTGTCGGCCGGGCAGGAGTCGAAGAGGTTGTCGGGGTCCCCGGCCGAGCAGGCTCTTATTGTGAGGGTACAAATGCATGTTATGAGAAGAAAGGATGAGAAGATAGTACTCATTTTCATGTCTTAGTCAAGATTTTTGGTGTTGAGTTTTTTTTTTTTTGCTTGTTCAAGTATATATATTGGTTAGGACTTTTCTTTTTTTTTTAAAAAAAAAAAAACATTTTTAAATAAGCTTGGAGTTCACTTCACTTAAACAGCAAATTCATTTTCAGAGGTTGCTTATGCTGCGAAAATATGTATTATCATATTTTGATTAAAAGAAAGTTGGGCTGTGTTCATCTGAGATGGTTGGCTAGCTTTATTTGTGCCTTGGTTATAATGTAATTAAGTTG